CCATTATTTGCTTAATAAGCCACAATGGTTTGGTCCAAACATTGCATTAAGCCATAAACCATAGCATGCAACAATGGCTTAGATTCATACAACATACTAAGCCAAGTTTAAACAAACCATGATAGAGTTTAACATGTTACATAAACTCAGTAATTGTCTGATAAGAATTGACACGTAATTGGTCATTAGAGCTCTGCTAAGTTTAATGCTGAATATAATCACTGCACAAACTTGGTGCATATTCAGTAAATATATTGGCACCTGATCTCTAATGAAATTTGATTTAAGTGTTTTCCTGTTGTCAGTAGACAGTTGACTGTCCTGATAATGATGACATTTCCAGCATTTTGGAACATTTCATAAAGGACAAAATGAGATGTTGAAAGTCTCACACTCTAACATGCATGACATGAAAGGAAAATTGAACCGGGGGGCAAGGAAAACCGATACAGGAGTAGCTCCTTCTATAGCCAGAGGATGGAAGGATGGAAGACTTCCCTTTGCTGTGAGGTTCAAAGCAGTGTTTTACAGATGGCAGATATTTCATATTTGTTAATGGACATACAGCCAGGTTTGATATTTTACTGAGTTGTCAGAGCAATACAGTATAATGGTATGTAGTGACCAACCAGCAATTCCCATCTTACAAGTTCCCATTTTGCAAGTTCTCCAAATGTTTTCCATACCAGTGAGCATTCAACCCTCCAAACACCTGCAGTCTGAAATGGTCCAGCTTACCTGTACAATTTTATTTGATATCAGTAAGATGCAAAGAAAGTCATTCACCTTAGGAACCATCAAGGTCCACCTTCAGCCTATGAGAAGATTATAGATTGCAGACTAGCTGATAGTGTCAGCAGAGAGCAGGTTCCTTCTCAATGTCTTGCTTCTAGATTGGAACAAGAGCATTTTGTCCCATCCTCCAAAATTCTCTGATACAACTGCACTGGCGCTGCCTTATCTGTCACAGTGTTCTGGAAGGTCACTTACTGTTGATTACCCAAGTATTCTCTGTGCCAGTCCCAATCACGTGCCTCGGGCTCCCTTGGAAATAGATAGTGGAAATCTATTAGCATCTAATTTTAGCAAGTTATTCTTCAGTGTTTGAGATGAGGCTCTGTTCTGGAAGCACACGCTTTGCTAAAAATGTGTTCTGTTTAGCCACCCTTCAGGCTTGCTTTTCTGTCCAGTGTTAATCTCTTTTCTGGGTGTTTCAGCTCTTGGTGACTTTGTCAAAACACTGAGAAATCGTCGCAATGTCCCAGGCAGCCAGGAGAAATTTGGGGGGGGGGGGGGGATCACCATTATTTATGTGGAGATGTTCTGCTGAATCTAGAGGAGTTTGCCTGGAATCTCTCACTTACCAACCAGGTTGAAATTCATTTATTTTTAATGGGATTTATTTCTAACCTGCTGTTCTTCCACCATGAAACTCAGGATAGATGAGATGACGTTTTCATCTTTGATCCATCCCAAGCTTTTTTAGCTTCACAAGTTCATGCTTGGTTGCAATTTAGGCCCTTAGTTGGATAAAGGCCTTGTTTCTTCTCTGTCATGCTATTTATCAACACTGCAAATTGCACAATAATTTCCTGTTTGTAATGCCACATTGCATAGGACCTTGCCGATCCATTGTCATTTTGGCCACCATCTTCCTTGCTCCATGTTGTGCATCATTACAGATTATCATATGTGGCTTGCAAGAGAAATGTTGCTTGCCTATGGCTACCAGATTTGGGCCACAAGACTCTCTAGTGCTTTGCTGCCATGTAGTGACCATCTGGAGTTTTTGCAATCCTTAATTGGACCTCCTACATTAGCAGGGATTATGATGAATAATGCCATTTAAGAGCAATTGGGTGTGATGTGTGTCTGGAATATCTTGCATTAATAGTTTCAGAATCTATGGGCAGCCCAGGAAGAGATAAAGATATTAAAGTTGCTGTACTACAAGATGGTAGTTCTTTCTTAGGGCTCTGAAGTCTATATTTAAAATGCACATATAAAGGACTAAGATCTCCCCCTAGAAGGACATGGACATCCTTCTAGATTTTTCTAGATGTTTTGTGGATATCACAAAACAGATTTTACAGAGATTCCTCTCAAGAGAGATTGGTAACTCACATGACTAGAATACCGTATCTGTTCCATAGACATGCCTGGAAAAAAGTCATATTTTGCATCCTTTGTTGATTACACTTAAGTATGGAGCAGCTTCTCATCTTGACCTTGCCTTCTCCCACTTTCACAGGAGGAATCATCGCAAAAGTTAGGTGAACAAAAAGATAGTAAGTTTATAGGACACAATTTTTCACTTTGAATGTACTGTACTTGTTCTCCATGTGTGAGGTGGTATGGAAGGAGAAGGAAGCCACTTGAGCAGGATTTTCTAATTTTGACTCCCTCCTCCTCCTTCCTAAAGGTTCAGCAATGAATCTTCATCCTTGATAAGTATGAGCAGATGTGAAACAGCCAGCATAAGCTTTCTGAATTTGAATACATCAGCAACTCTGAGTAGTTAACGCTTTTCTGACAAGATGGACAGCTCTGTTCCAAGATGGGAGCGATCTATAGTCCGAGAGTGAGGAAGGCAGAAGGTTGCTCTCTCATTCGTCCAAAGAGCCTGTGTGAGTCATGCTCACACATCACTGCTTCTGCCTGATAAGTAATCACAGTTAGGAGGCCAGGAAAGCCTTTTATGTCGGAGGAGTTATGTTAGACAAGTCCAACTTTGACCAGAGAAGATATTGTTCCTGAATACCACATTTTGTCTGATTTATGAACTACTGACAGACTGTACTAAGGCACTAGGTTAGACTGGGAAGTTAAAAAGCAAAATGAAACTGGAAGGAGGGGGTGGAAAACTACTTCTGTACTGTGGCTGAGAAAGTGTGCGGGTATGTCTCTGAAGTCACCAGAAGCCAAGCCTGGGCCATTTGAACAATAATTAGATTGCTCCTCCCAGCAACATTTGGAAGCTGCCATCTGTCCCAATTTAATCTGTCCTCATTTTTCTTTTTATCAGAGTTAGGTGACATGGATGATATACTTGCATACCTTTTCTTCAGGTATCGAGAACTGATTGCGGTTACGCACGGAGTGTTTGATGGTTTGTTTAAACCGAGGACCATCTTTGAACTGGAACGAGTCTGCCTTGTCAGAAACATTGGCTTTCTCTGTTTACTCAGCCTACAAAACTGAGGCATGTTCAGGGATGTCCACAGAAGGAGGTCAGGAAAGTCAATATGGCAGTCACAACCATGTGATCAACCCCCAACCCCTTTTTACGTATGTCAAGAGGCACATAAAAAGGGGTCAGATGTCATTTACAGGATCCCTTGATTGAAGACCTGCCCCTTTTTACAAGCATCACATACATGGCACACATAAAAAGGAGGAGGGGCTTTGATCAAAGTCACCATCCCTTTTTGACCCCCCTGCAAACTCCTCTGCTTTCAGAGGCCCTGCCATTCACCCACAAGTGTCTCTGTGTGTGCAGGAACGTGTGCAAGAGTAAGCAAGGGAGAACTTTTGCAAAGCTTTGAAACTGCAAGTTAAGGTGTTCTTTGCTTAACCTGGGCACAAGGTACAATAGATACAAGGTGACTCGATCTGTCACTGAGCTCAGGGGTGATGCTGGTGGCATGTGAGGAGACTCTGAGAATGGAGTGTGGCCCCCATGCCTTCAATGATGTGCACCTACCTTCTGTGCTTCTCCAGGGGGCAGCCACTAGATGAGGCTGAAGTTGGCTACTTAACTGAAATAGGGCTTCAGGACCATGTCCTCAAGTAACCCCTGTTGATAGAAATATGAGAAGCAGGGTAGTTTTCCTCAAAGCACAATCCACCTACAAATTCCCGTCTGCAAATATCAGTGCATGAGTGGACATTTATTTAATTCAGTTTACATGGTGGCCCATCTCGCATAAGCAACACTAAACATACTGGCCAGGATGGACCAAAGTTCAACCCATGGGGCCTGGTTCCCTGACCTCAAAATGTATTTTGTCCATGAAAGCTGCACTTGCTATCCCAAACCTTGTTCGTTTCCCGAAGCTCTTCCTTTACATATGAGCTAGTGTAAACACACCCTTTGGCCCTGAACTGCACCCCTGTTTCAAAGAACTAGAAGAACAATGAATGTGAAGAATACATGGAGTAGACGAGTTGCACCTAATCCTGTTTTACTGCATAACCATCAGTTTAATACAGTCTAAGAGTTCCCAAAAGCATAATTATTAGCAAGAACGGAGAAAAGTGGGATCATGAAATGGATTTTCACTGTAACGTGCATTGACTTCTTGAACTCATGTATCATTCTGAGCAGAGGGAAAAGTTACGATAATAGAAAGGATGCGTAGCTCAGGGTTGGTGTGTTATGCCGTTAGTTTTCTGAAGTAGGTTTTAATTGCAAACATTTTATTATCATACTAGGTAATGTCATCAGTGCAGGAGATGTGGAGAAGTGAGGTTCATTGGTTGGCAAATGATGTATAGATCTTTCTATTAAACCAGTCATGCTTGGTGAGGGAACTCTACGGAGGGCAGTTAACTTGCATGTGAATGAAGTCTTCTGCTATATCTTTTGGTAGATTCATAGATAGGGTGTAAATCTCTGTGTTTGCTGATTGCCATTTGACCAGAGTGAATTCTCTTGCATTTTTCAGTCTGGCTTATTCTAAAACGTCCACTGTTTCCCTGTTGAAGCTATCTCCTAAGTTGTCTGTGTGGAGAGAGATTAGTGACGCGGCATTGAGTCTTCTGGTCTTCAGCTCCTGGTTGCTGCTTGTGTTTTATTTTGTAGATGATTTTGTCTTGTTTTGTCTTCTTTTGATATTGTGTCTTTTGGTTTGCAAAATGGGAGGAAGAGAAATTGCTCTCAGGGCGCCAGTGTGTTTTGCACCTGAGCTTGTCAGTTATAGAAGGGGAGGGTCTAGATGAAGTGAATCCAGAGATGGGTTATATGCATTCTTGACCTTCTCTTCTTTCTTCTTTTACAGATTACACCTGGCAGCAAGGCGGCCCAGTCTCAGATGAGCCAGGGGGATATGGTGGTAGCCATTGATGGCGCCAACACAGATAGCATGACCCACCTGGAGGCCCAGAATAAGATCAAATCAGCAAACTACAACCTGAATCTTACTCTTCAAAAGTATGTAGAGATAAGTTACTATCCATACAAGAATTCAATACTTGTTTGTTTCCCCACTGCAAGGCACCTTCAAGGTTCCACCTGAGATGTTTGGGGCACCATTTTGCAGCATGGAAGCAAGCTACCTAACCATCTCAGAGTTATACCTGTTTTATAATATCCAAACGATACCTTTCAGTCTCTCCTGAACTGAACATTTCAGAGACTGCATTTTGGATGCGGACCAGTGTTTTCCAACTCAGGTGGACTTCAGCTCTCATAATCATCATCTGGCCTGACCAAGGGATTATGAGAGCTGAAATAGGGAAAGTTGTTATGAAGAACACAAAAGAATATGCTCTTGCACATCATGTCCCATTCGTGAACCTCCTAGTAGGTCTACTTTGGCTAGTGCAGTTCATAGCTTGCATATCTAAGACAGCATTTAAGATGTTCTGAAGCTGCATGTCATTGTAACCTCAGAAGGGTCAAGTTTAAAGAGCAGTAAATAAATCTCAGATGCTTTGTCATATCAGATATTCAGATCCAATTTTCCTGGCCTCCTTTTTTGGGGGGATCATTGGGTCAGCAAAGCTATCATTTTGAAGAGCGTCAGATCTGAAAGTGACCTCAGGGTTGGCTCAGCCACTGCTGCTCCATCAGGAGGAGGAGCTGAAAGATTTCACTTCAGTTTTGACTTGAGGTTTGATCGCATGCTTCTACCAATGATTAAGGACCTTTGCTTGCTTGCTTCCCAGATAAATCTCCTAATTCTTGATTCTACCGCTTAATTTTTATCATCTTATTTTATAACGGTATTGATGCTTATTTTCCTGTGCAGTGTTTTAAGAATTTTTAACACAAGGAAAAGTGGAAATATAATTTTCTTAATGAATAATTAATAAGTTAGTGACTTGCTGTGCTGCGTGAACTGGGTAGTCTGGTATGTTCAAATAAGCCAACTTTAAACTGTGGGTTTCTAAAGCTAGCTTTTCAAAGAAACTGTTGTTAAGATTATAATGGTTTGGGGTTCAGACCACATGTAAAGTATGGTTACCTTGTTTAGTGAGTTTGTCTCAGCAGCTGTAACAATCAACCAATGTTTGTGAGAGCCTATGACCTTTCCTGTGGGCCATTTTGGTCTAGTGGTTAAGGCACCAGGCTAGAAACCGGGAGACCGTGAGTTCTAGTCCTCCCATAGGTGTGAAGCCAGCTGGGTGACCTTGGACCAGTCCCTCTCCTTCAGCCCTAGGAAGAAGGCCAGGGCAAGCCCCTTCTGAAAATGCTGCCAAGAAAATTGCAGGCATGCGTTCAGGCAGTTGTCAGGCACCACCTCTGTTGTTTTTGGACGCATATCAACAGATCTGGCATGACATCTAAAGCAATATCCATATAGGGTTTTCCATAAGGATGAGGTAGGTCAGAAAGTCAAGATGGCAGCCACATGTAATCGAACCCTTTTGACTTTTTTGACCCTTCCTGTAGACACCCCTGTTCATACCAAGTAGCTACCAGTGACTTTTAACTCTGTTTCTGAATGACTGTTTCCAGTGTAAATGATACCCATATATTACACTTTATGCCCACCAGTGCTGCCATATCCTCCGTTCTCATTGGTTTCGTTCATAAAACATTTGGGCATATCTGAAGTAGTGGAGCGGACAGTCTGGTGAGGCAGCTTTGATTTGCCTTGACAACGTGCTTCCTGTGGCTCTTGGCCTCCACCAGGGACTGGCCAAAATGAGATTTTTGCAGCCATGTAGCCATGGATGAGAGCAAAGCAGTGTTGAATTCAGGAGCAAGGAGACCACATTAATGGAACACTTTGCTTGAACCCCGGTTTGAAAGCTGTTGTGATTAAATCCTGCTCATGTAGGATGTTGTGGTGGGGAAGAGATGATTTCCTTCACCTCCTTCTTCTCTTTCACCTTCTGCACAAGGAGAAATTATCTTCAAGGAGTTGAGTGCTCATTAAAAGAAATGCTTAAAACTAAGGACTTATCTGCCAGATGCAGCATTATCCTTTCTTAGCAGCAGATAACAGAGGTGTCTGTCTATCACTGATTTTTTTTGGGGGGGGGGTACGGACAGGACTATGCAAACTTTATAGTTCGATGAACGATTTCAAGGGAAAAAAATAACTTCTCCTCTTGTCTTTAAAGATAGTATCAAAAGCTGGAAAAACCATAGCCTCGTCCTGGAATTTATGACCAGAATGTTAATACTTTGAAATACTAGCATTTTAACCATGCTCTCTCTTAAACACAACAGCCAAAATCACCCATTGTGGCAAAGCATACATTTTTTAAAACCATGGTTTGTTGAAGAAGCTACAGCATCTGGAATCACATGCTCCAGCGATCAAAAATCAGTATCGTTATGGCTTGAATTGCTAAGCAGTCGCACACTGTACTAATGCTGAAGGGTTCCCGTGATGCTATTAGTAAATGTTTGTACTGTAATTTCAGCACAGGGAGAATGAGATTGGTCCTTGGCAAAATGAGTCCAGAGCCAGAGCTCTCAGATCTCTGCTGTGAAAATCCAGATGGCCAGAAGATTTCAGCAAAGTTCTCACTTTGCCGCTATCTACTGGCTGTCCAGATTTGTGCAGCCTTAACTGTAGGAATGAAGATCCATTTTCTGTCCATGTCTGCACTCCACCATTCAGAGTGTCCACACTGCAGCACAGAACACAACCAACCCCAAATCTGTGTGGGGCCACACTGAGAGCAGGAGACAGCCTGGCCTGAGACAAATTCAAGAATTTGGACAGGATGGCTCAGAAGCTTCTGTTGGCTCCTCAGTCCTGAAGTTCTCCATCTCTGGTGTCTCAAGTAAGAGACTTCATAATGGTGGGATGCTCTTTTACTTCCTCCTAAAGTAAATTCCTGGGCAAGATTCTCTGGTGGTGGAAAATTAAAGTTCTTCCCAGAGCTGACTTAAATACAGAGCTGGAGGGGTTCAAATGAAGATTATTTACAACTATATTATGCTATTTTTCAGTTTGGGAAGATTGAGATGGCTCTATGAAAAAAGCACATAAAAATGCAGTGAAGGATACTTTGCAACAAGGTCTCCTTCACCCTGAATAAGAATGTCGATGGAAGGTGTTTGCTTGTTTGGAAAGCGGAGAAATATGAGGTTCACTTTTATGAGATCTAAAATCTAGACTTATGCACTCCCAGGGAGAAAGCTTTTCCTGGGTTGCTGCTTGCAGCAATGACATTTCCTTTATCAATTCTGATTCTGACAGTTTCATGGGGATTATTTATAATATGGTAGCTTCTATAGAATTAGGAACTCCTTTTTATTGGCATGGCTTGCTCCTCAAATTTGCTGAATCGGGAACTTAACAGACCGACTGTTCTTGCTTTGCAAAAGCTATTGCTACTGTAGCAGCAGCGAGACTGGTGTCTGCATGGGGGGGAGGTTTTTTTTTTTAAACATTTATTTATATAAAAATAAATATTAATTAAAAACAAGAAAAGCTGCAAAGTTCATTGACATCCTCAAGCAGAATCGTTTCCAATCGTTAGAGCTGCATAATTCTATATAACCAGAGGATGGCAGCAAAGCCAGTTTTCTAGACGTTCCTCTCCTGCCATCTAGTGGCTGCCTGAGGTTTTACAGGTCTGGTTGCCTTACAACAGTGTTGTCCAAACTTGGCCACTTTAAGATGAGTGGACTTCAACTCCCAACATGGCTGGCTGGGGAATTCTG